TTTTGACAGCTTGGTAGAATTCGTTTGTAAAATGATAAAACCACCCATACAACCAATGCATTTTCATGGAGATCTCTAACATTTTAAAATGTTCTATGGTAATTGATCTACTGAGGTTTCCTACTTTCTCAAAACATTTTTAATTAATTTGTTTCCTGTTTCATGATAAATTTATATTTTTTCCAAATTTAAAATATTTTAACACATTTATAGTTTTCTTGTAATTTAAAATTTGATTTTTATAATGATCTTTTTCTTTACTGATTATATTTGTGCCTTTTTTCATTTTTATCTTGATTGTATTTGCAAACTTGTTAATTTCAAACTCTTCTCACTCAAAATATCTTTTATTTTCCCTATCCAATTACATTTTTAGTTTGTTTTCTGTTTATTAATTTTTATTTTTATCTTTATCAAGCTTTTCCTTCTGTTTGTGCTTGTTTCTTTTTTCAAAAACTTAAGTCATTTCGTTTTAGTCTTTCTGATTTTGTGAGAAAGGTACTGATTTCGCTATATTAATGAGTTTTGATATGAGGTGCTTTCATTGTTGTTTAGCATTCGGTAGTCTGTCATTTCCTTTTGTTTCTTTTTTATGTCTAGAAATAAATATATTGTTTCTTAACATACAATTGTAAACATTTTTGGTGATTTTGTTGTAAATTTGTTATTTTATTTCACTGTGATCACAGAGAATGACATGCATGTAATTTTTAAATATTTCTTTATGTTCTAATAGAATGAATTTCTTTAAATATTCCATGTATGTTTAAAAAGAATGCATATTCTCTGCTGCACACAAAGTATTTCTCTTTCCCCCATATATACAGCTCAATTGTGTTGCTCAAATCATTTATAACCTTATTTTTCACCTACTTGGTATGTTGGGGATTTGTCAGTTTATTTCCCATACGCTATCAGTTTTCACTTTATACATTGAAAGCTATATTGTTAGATACATATTCATAAATTTTAAATCATTGTGATATGATTTATCTATTTATCCATATGAATGTCTCTTTTTTATTTTAGATTCAGGAAGTACATATGCAGCTTTGTTAGTAATACAGGGGCATATTGCATGATGGTGGCATTTAGGCTTCCAGTGAACTCATCACCCAAATAGTGACTAGTGACTATGTACCCAAAAGTAGCTTTTCAATCTCCCCAACTTTTGGAGCCTCCTATGTCTATTGTTTCCATCTTTATGTCCATGCATACCTATTGTTTCTCTCCCACTTCTAAGTGAAGACAGATGGTATTTGGTTTTCTATTTCTGAGTTATTTCACTTAGGGTAATGGCCTTCATCTGCATTCATGTTGCTGCAAAGGACATGATTTCATTGTTTGTATGGCTGCATATTCTTCCATAGTGCATATGTACCACATTTTCTTTATCTAATCCACTTCTGATGAACACTTAGGATGATTCCATGACTTTGCTATGATGAATACTGCTGCAATGAACATATGAGTGCACGTGTCTTTTTGTAGAATGATTTCCTTTGGGTAGATACCCAGTAGTGCGACTGCTGGGTGGAATGCTAGTTCTACTTGTAGTTCTTTGAAAAATCTCCAAACTGCTTTCCATAGTAGTTGAACTAATTTAAATTCCCACCAACAATATATAACTATGACCTCCACATTCTTGCCCAAATTTGTTATTTTATGCCTTTTTAATAATAGCCATTCTAACGTTTGAGTTAGTATCTCATTGTGGTTTGATTTTGCATTTATTTGCTGATTAGCGATGTTAAGTATTTTTTTCATGTTTGTTGGCCACATGTATGTCTTATTTTAAGAAGTGTTCTGTTCATGTCTTTTGCCCAGTTTTTAATGGGGTTTTTTTTTTTCTCTTATTGATTTGTTCAAGTTCCTTATATTAATAGATTCTGGATACTAGTCCTTTGCCAGATGCATAGTTTACAAATATTTTCACCAATTCTGTAGGCTATTTACTCCAGTGATTGTTTCTTTAGCTGTGCAGAAGCTTTTTAGTTTAATTAAGTCCCAATTGTATATTTTTGTTTTGGTTGCATTTACTTTTGAAGTCTTAGTCATAATCTTTGCCTAGGTCAATGTCCAGAAGAGTTTTTCCTGCATTTTCTTCCAGAATTTTTATAGTTTCAAGTTTTGCATTTAATTATATTTCATACTATATTAGAACTGCTAAACCAGTTTTATGTATAGCATTTGCCCAGTATATATTGCATTATTTTCAGATTATATCTGTCACTTTGCTTTAGATATGTCTACTACGCACTATATATAGGTATTTTTAATTTCAATTTTAGTCAGTGTCTTTTAATCAGTGTTTAGTTCTTTCAAATTTGTTGGAGTTACTGACTTATATTTAACTTCTTCTTGTCATCTTATATTTTATTTTCTATTTGCCCAGATTTGTCTTTATTTTGCCCCAATCCTAACTTACACGATATAAGAGATTTTTAGTCATTTTCTTTCTTCAATTGGTGTGTAAGTTATACATTTTATTTCTATTCTTCTCTAGTGGCTACTATTAATATTTTAACCTATGTACTTAAACCTATATATTTCTAAAAATTTATACAGTTAACAAGATTTATATTATCTTTCCCTAACAAGACAAAACACTTCTCTTTATTCTCTCTGCATCTACACATCACAGGTTAATAATGTTTACAATTATAGCTCCAAGTTGTTACTTAAAACACCTTTTTAAAAAATGACCAGTACTGATTTAGACTTAATATGCTTTACTAATATATTTTCTAAGCTTCGGTTCTTGCATCCTACTGCTATTCTCATTTTATCCAGAATTCCTTTTTTTCTTTTTGGAGTAAAACCTCCAGTAACTATTTCAGAGACAGTCTGACGGTGTTAAACTTCCTATGTATCTTATCTTCACATTAGGATGATAGTTTAGTATAACACAGAATCCCTAATTCATAGTAATTTGTCCTTATCACTTTGAAAATGTGCTCCATTATCATCCTCTGACTCTGCTTTGTAGGTGATCGGCTTTTTGTTCTCAAATAGTTTTTAAGTGCTTCTTTTTATCCCTGAATTCTGAAATATCCCTACAATGTGTCTAGTTATGGGCTTTTGCATTACTATTATTTTACTCTTGCTTAGTGCTCCATGAGCTTTTCCATAGTGATGTATGTGTTTTTTAATAGATGGAAGTTCTCAGCCATTATTTTTTTCAAATGCTGACTCTTGTTCCATTCTTTCCTTCTTGGCCTCCCTCATGAGATAATTTTGGAGCTTCTAAGTTTATCCTTTATACCTCTTAACTTTTCATTCATACTTCCCAACTCCTTATCTCTTTTACTGCATCCTGAGGTAATTCTTTATTTCAATTTTCCAGATACAGTATGTATTTAGTTCACTATCTTGAGATTAGGAATCTGAAGTTCACATTTAGAGCATAATGGAACCTATATTTATTTTCTTTCTCTTGGGAAAGATCACTATCACTCATCTCATCATTTTGTATTTCATTAGCCACATATTTTTGAAGGAAAAGGAATAATAATTTATTGAATATGTATGTGTGCCAGGCACTGTACCACATACATCTGGAAATTTTACATACATCACTATTATTACCCTATGTCAGAGAACATCCAAAAAAACATTCTAGATAAGGGCAGTACTCAATTTGTGGCCAAATTAGAAATGTTCCACTATACTGTGTGTTTTCAAAGGCAATAATATAAAACTCAGTATTGAGCTCTAAGATTTTATTTTATAACAAAATCACCATGGGGATTTCTAGTTAGGTGTTTCTGAAATTTTAGGTGGATAATGCTGCTTGCCATTTTTATACAGGAAATCTTGCAAAACTAGGCATTACTTGGGGAGAATATCCTTCCCTATTAGCATGAAAAGTGTGATGATTTGCCTATTAAATCTCAGAATTGTTTGGTATAATATAGTAATAATAAAATGTACCCCAGTTAATATGGCTATCATCAAAAAGACAAAAAATAACAGAATGCTGCAAGGATGCAGAGAAGAGAGAACTCATACACTGTTGGTGGGAATGTAAATTAATGCAACCATTATGAAAAAAGGTATGGAGGTTCTTCAAAAAACTAAAAATAGAACTACCATATGTTCCAGCAATCTCACGTCTGGGTATATATCCAAAAGAAAATAAATTAGTAATTCAAAGAGATATCTGCACTCCCATGTTTATTGCAGCACTATTCATAACAGCCAAGATATGAAATCAACCTGAATGTTCATCAGTGGATGAACAGATAAAGGAAATGTGGTATAAATACACAATGGAATATTATTCGGCCATAGAAGAACGAAGTTCTGTCATTTTCAGCAATATGGATGAACCTAAAGGACATTACGTTAAGTGAAATAAGCCAGGCACAGAAAGGCAAATACAAATGCATGTTTTCATTCTTATGTAGGAGGTTAAGAAAAAAGTTGATCTCATGGAGGTAGAGAGAATGATGGTTACCAGGGGCTGGGAAGGGTCGGGGGCAATGAAGAAAGGTTGGTTAATGAGTACAAACATATAGTTAGATAGAAGCAGGAAGTTACAGTGTTTCATAGCACAGTAGATTCACAACAGTTAACAACAACTTATTGTATATTTCAAAACAGCTAGAAGAGAAAATTTTGAATGTTCCCAACATAAAGAAAAGATAAATACTTGAGGTAACGGATATTCTAGTTACCTTGATTTGATCACCATACATTGTACCCACGTATTAAAATATCACATGTATCCCATAAATATGTGCAATTATGTATCAATAAAAAATAAAATGTAGAAACGGGAATCTTAGGATTAAAGGACACTATTCACTTAGGCTTTTTTAAAGTACAAGTGAGTAATATGGTGAGAGAAGGTATAGTGAGATTTGGGAAGTACCTGTCAATTAAAAAGGATTTGTGTCTTCTACTTCCATGCTTACCATGGAACTGATCTGATAAAAAGTATACATGGATTAGTAAGCATGCTATAAGCACAAGGCCATAAATGCAATCTCATTTACCTGGAGGTCCAGGAAGGCCAGGTGGACCCTGTATTCCAGGAAATCCTCGCTCTCCTTTTTCCCCGGGCAAGCCAGGCAACCCAATGTTTCCTTTTTCTCCTATAGTTATACCAGTCCCAGGTCTAGGAATTACCTTTATTACAAAAGAAAAAAAAATAAAGAAATGCAAAGAAGAAAAGCCTTGTTCTCCTGAAAATACTATGGGAGCTACATATGATTGCAATGTCATCATTTTCACATAGTTTATGAATCACATTCCGTATCGCTCCCATCCTCCAACTGATTAGAAAATGTCCAATACAAGTAACAACATTACCATGTTCCTGAGCCCAAGGCGTATAAAACTAAAAGTATTTTTGATGTCTCTTCTCCTATAATTCACATTCAATTAATTCCAGTCTCCTAAGCCTGACAATTCTTTACAGAAAACATCTCTCCAATTTGCCCCCTTGATTCCTGTTGCCACAACTGTATCATCAACTCACACTTAGAGTAACAGAAGCACCTCTGATCTTGTCCCTTGAATTCCAATCTATTGTTAGGATATGCTTCCTCAAAAACCATTTGTGTGCGTGTGTTAACTATTCTGCTTAAGGACTCAAAATTGCTCACTACTTTTTACTACAAGTGCTGCTACTTTTAATCCTGAACTGTAAGTCACTTTTCACTTCCAATACCTCTCTCACCTATTTAATCTCCTATTATGTCTTACAATAAAGTTTTATTATAGTGAAGTCTGTCTGATTCTAATCATTTCATTCAACTTGCACATTCTTGTCTATGTCTTTGCATATTCCATTCCAAACATGTGTAATGCCTTTCCCCAATCTTTCCCTTTATTAACCCACATTTATTTCTTCCTTTAAAAAAGAAAACTACCCCATAAATATATATACCTACTATATACCAAAAGAAATTTAAAAATAAAACCCATCTTTTCTTTATTGATTAAACCCAACTAATTAATCATTCCTTTTTACTCTGTATTCTTGTAACTCAAATATTTTCTTAAAAACTTAGCATTAAATAAATTAAATATTTAAAAATTCTTCTTATAGACCTATAAAGGTAAATGAACATCAGATTTAAGAGACTGCCAGTCTGATGTACAAATTAACACCTAGTAGCAGTATGATATTTCATCCTGTCTCTATTGGATGGATATAAGAAACATTCACACAAAAGGAGACAAAAAGTTGTGGGACTTAGGATTGGAATAGTGATTCAAAAGGAAACTGGGCTGCTAAATAGGACTGTACTCTCAAAATTTCCATTTCTTCTGATACGTATTAAAATTTTATCTTCTCATTTTATAAAGAGATTATTTCCTAGAGGAGTGAAGCTGATTTTAAAATGAAAGTGAATAAAAAAAATCTAAGATCTTCTTTAAGTATATCCTCATTAGATTTAGTACAGTCCTAAGTATTAATAACTGAGACTCACTATGGATAATAAGAATTAAATTAATGTTACTAACATGTCTGGACACATAAGTTTTCCAACATTCGCACTGTTGCGGCTTCAATGCAGTTTGAAGTCAAGAGTCTTACTAAATTTCAACCAAAGAAAAACCAATATGTTAAACCTCAGCAACGATATTTTATTCCTAATAAGACTGGAAGTACAGTTGACTTAAATTTCATAGTGAACACAAACATGACAGAAATTCTGTAGCTCCCCCACTCCCAATTATTCTTTCATAAAGCAGCTTCCTACGTGCGTTATTAAAAGTCCCTAGAAAGCACACACTCAGGAAAGAAAGAGGTGTGAATCAGACAATTACAAATTTAGAAAACCTATTAAGACCAAATCTATCTTTCTCCTGAGCTCTGCAGGGGAAAGGACCAAAACCCCACCCCACCCCAACTTCCCCAAGTTTTGTTTTGTTGTTGTTTTCATTGAACCTTTGTAAGCAACACTTGCACCACCTGCTGGTTGCTTGAGAAGTGATCTGGCAATCATGAAGTAAAACAACCCAAAGCCATAATTTTAGACCTTTACCATGCAGAAGTAATGCATAGGCAGAACAATACAAGACCTTGAGGCCAACGTTACTGAAGTTTTTAGATATAAAGACTTTTAAGCCAGTAGAAATTGATAATGACTTGAAATTTTCTGTTCTATGAAGAAAAAGTAGGGAGTATGCAATTAAGGCACAAAAATGATAATGCATTAATAAATTTTGATAAATGAATACTAAAAAAAAACTTACAAGTCCAGGAGGTCCAGGTGGGCCAATGTCACCTTTTTGGCCCTGTTCAATTCAATTGTAAATAGGTTAGTAAAATTCACATGAAAACATCAATTTCCTCAAGAATATAAGAGACACTTTTCAAAAAGACCCAGAAATCAATCATAAAATACCTCAAATGAGAAATGCAACATGAAGTAATGAAACAATTCTGAGCTAAGCCTAACCTGTGATGTTGTCTCAGATTTACTAGCTATATAATATTGACCAAGTTAATTAACTTCTCCGGTTTATATACAAAGAATAAAGATTTTTGGACCAGAGTTTTAAGGTATTTCTAGTTGTAATGTTTTTTTGATTTTTAAGATTCCTATTTTTAGCCAACTACAAATACTCTATAAAGAAGATAATAGAAAAAAATGGTAGCACTAGAATCAGTGAAAAACTTACATTTTTTTTTTACATTTAGCCATATTTCTCCTCATAAAACTAGCCAAGGACATAAATGTAGTGTCATTTCTATTAGTGACAGATATTTCAGATGCGATGGACTTAACTATCATCAATAATAGCTAGTAACTCTGAATTGCTTTTGTGAGCTTGCTCTTGGAAGCTAATGGAAGACAAGTTCAGATAGAACTTTTATCGTTGATTAGTAGCTATAACAGCATGGAAAAAACACAATATTCAATATTCAAATGTTACTCTACTACTGGCCAAGACACAAGGATGGTCTTTTTCATACTTCTATTCTGACTCTAGTCTTGTTCATAGAAGCCATCCATCTATATACAAATACTACTTGACAAAAAACCATTTTATCTGAGTATTTCCTACCTCCCTTTATGCTAATTGTGCCTTTTAAGCCATGCTAGAACTTAGACCTAATTTAGAAATAAACCACCATTAAAATATGTGCCTTCTGCCTACATTCAAGTTTGTAAGGCCTTTCCTTCCTTGCCTGAAAAACAAAAAAGCTTGCAGTTTTTGATACAAAGCAATTAAAGACAAGAGGGATTGGAGTACTGGTTATTTTGTGACCTGCTAAAACTCTGGTAATTGTGTGCTTCATACAATGTTTCAAAGTCATTTGAAAAATAGGTAACTAAATAATTGACCTCAGTCAGGGTGCATTGGCCCAGTAGGGGGGAAAAACAACAAAGAATTAGCCACAGACAGGCGCCTGTAGTCCCAGCTACTCGGGAGGCTGAGGCAGGAGAATGGCGTAAACCCGGGAGGCGGAGCTTGCAGTGAGCTGAGATCCGGCCACTGCACTCCAGCCTGGGAGACAGAGCGAAACTCCGTCTCCAAAAAAAAAAAAAAAAAAAGAATTAGCCACAGACTTACAGACAGTAATTGCATACAGAATGGAAATGTTTAGTGGCGACGTTCTACATTCACAGCTATAAGCCTTTTTCGTAAGAGGACCTCACTAAAATAGCGCTGAATTCTCTTTGCGGAAAAAAAAGCTTTGCCGACACAAGCTCAAAGTAAAGGCAATGACTTTTCACAGTGGAGATGCTAAAGTTAAACAATGCTTAATGTATTTCTGCAACATGGACTGTGATTTATGGCAATGGAAGAAAATTTAGCAAGTGTGGTATAAAAGAAAAATGAGCAAAAGATGAATAAAGAAGGAATATTTTGAATATAAAAGCTAGTTATGTAGACGTTTTCCATTTATAATTCAAGCTTGAGAGAAGAAAAGGATTATTTTAGCTAGACTAAACCAGTCACTTCAAAGTATTAAAATTCTTACCTTTTCACCATCCCTTCCGGGTTCACCAGGGTAACCAGGATCACCAGGCAAACCCTTTAAAAAATAGCGGATAGGGTGACATGAGCACAAATGGTGGGGTTAGGAAATCTCCAAAAATTGTCTTCTCCATAGAAGCAATGAGAATACTGGCAAAAATGGTCAGTCAGAATTAACTTTCATAACTTAACCAAAGCTTGCAACAATTCAAGGAGTGTTTTCTCAGAAAAAAAAAAAAAAAAAATGCTGAATCTTGTGAGAACTCAGAGCTTTGTGGCATTTTAACTTGCTCTATTGCCACCACCTCTCCTCACAATCAAGGTGAAAACCCGCAGCCTAGCAGCAACTGGAGAGGAAAGAACAGGGCTGGAGCTCCTTCAAAGCCCCATTTCTAGAGAATTATCATTATATGATCTGTCTGGTGGTTCAAAAGAAGACTATTTGCAAGGCTGCCTTTATTTGACCCAACTTGGGCTCTCCCAGTGCAAACAGAGAACAAGAGAACAGCCTCCCTACCGCCCAACCCCCATTTGTTGAAAACACTAAGAGGCAATTGTTGAATATCACAGCTGCCTGAATCAAGACAAAGACCAATTGTTCCAAAAGAAGCCAGGAACTGAGGCCCTGAATTTACCTCTTGATATTTTATAATATAAAATATTTTTGAACTAGAGATTGTAAATGAGGATTGCCTGTTTAGTAAAATATCCTGAAACCAATTTATCTGAATTTAGTAATTCTAACCTATCTTGTTAAGAATTATCCTTTTCCCATGGAATAACTTACAAATTTCATCAAATATTCTCTCTGTCCTTGAAAAACTCTTGCCTACTGTGGATACTCTTGATACTGAAGCTGCTTGAAATAATGTTTTTGGAATTACATATTTTATTTCCCATGCCCCTTTTTGGTAGTAAGTAGAAATATTACCTGTCAAAACTTTTACTGAAAAAAACATGTTCACACACACAGAAAAACTGTATGGGAATATTTGTAATAGTTTTATTCATAATGGCCACAACACAGAAACAACCAAAATATCCTTCAATGGGTAAATGGATAAACAAACCATGGTATATTCAAATTATCAAATACTACTCAGCAATAAAAAAATGAACTGATACACAATTCAATGTATTATGCTATGTGAAAGGATCCTGATTCAAAAGGCTATATACAAAATGATCCAATGTATCTGACATTTGGAAATAGGCAAAATTAAAGAGACTGACAAAAGATCAGTTGTTGCAAGGAGGTTGGGATAGGGGAATAGGGAGGAGATAACTACAAAAGAGCATGAGGGAACTTTTGAAGGTGATGGAAGTGCTCTTGATTATGGTGGTGGTGACACAACTGTATGTGTTTGTCAAAACACAGAACTGTAGCCGGGCGCGGTGGCTCAAGCCTGTAATCCCAGCACTTTGGGAGGCCAAGACGGGTGGATCACGAGGTCAGGAGATCGAGACCATCCTGGCTAACACGGTGAAACCCCGTTTCTACTGAAAAAATACAAAAAAACTAGCCGGGCGAGGTGGTGGGCGCCTGTAGTCCCAGCTACTCCGGAGGCTGAGGCAGGAGAATGGCGTGGACCTGGGAGGCGGAGCTTGCAGTGAGCTGAGATCCGGCCACTGCACTCCAGCCTGGGCTACAGAGCAAGACTCTGTCTCAAAAAAAACAAAAAAACAAAAAAACAAAAAAACACAGAACTGTAAACTAAAAATAGTTCCTTTTACTATATGTAAATTATATCTCAATAAGTCTGACTTTAAAAAATAGATGAACCTCAAATTTATATTTGGTGTAATTGGATTGTTTGTAATGCAAAGGATAAACGCTTGAGGGGAAGAATACCCCATTCTCCATGATGTGCTTATTTCACATTGCATATGTGTATCAAAACATCTCATGTACCTCATAAATAAATATATACACCTACTATGGACTCACAAACATTTTTAAAAATTGAAAATTATATTCAAAAGACAAAGACTGGATAATTTCAATTCATTTAAACTATTTCCAGACCCCACACTCTTTGTCATACTCTTTCTCTACCACCATATGTTATACCAACATATAAATGTCTCCAGTTTTGCAGGGGGAAGAACCTTAGCTACTCACAGGAATTCCTGGTTGGCCGTTTTCTCCATCTTTGCCTGGTTTACCCTACACGATACAAAGAAATGATAGAGCAACAACATACATTTGTTAGTTAGGAAGTATAAAGTTAAAGAATATAACAAGCTTTATTACTGGCTTGGACTATATTAAGTAGACTTTTTAGACATCAACATTATAATGTCAGTAGTGATATTTTGAAACAATGGAAGTAAGATGTAGGAAGAAAGAATAAAATCACACACACACACACACACACACACATTTAGAATTTTTTGCAAAGAATATTAGCAGTTACATCACTTACTCTTTTGCCTGGCTCTCCTTGCTCACCCTTCTCACCTTTCTCACCACCTGGGGGACCCTGTACACATAAAAATAGTTTCACATTGGTTCATAGAGTATTGTGTACCAATGCCAATTTACATTAAATGATGCTAAAGCACTTTAGGTTACTTACTGGAGGACCACGTATCCCTGGAGGTCCAGGAGGCCCTCGGTCACCAGGAAGTCCCTATGTAGTAGTAGGGGAAAGGAAGTCAATGTTAATACTGGAACATGCTTTTCATTCTAAGCACTAGCACTAGCTAGAAGCATTTTTAATAAACTGAACCACAGCTACATCTATGTTGCAGCAACATGGTTAGAGCTGGAGGCCATAATCCTAAGTGAATTAATGCATGAACAAAACATCAAATACCACATGGTCTCATTGGGGGCACAAGGACATAAAGATGGCAACAATAGACACTGGGGACTACTAAGAGTAGAGGGAGGCAGGTAATACTTGTAAAACTAACTTCTGAGTACTATGTTCACTACCTGGCTGATGGGATCTGTACCCCAAACCTCAGCATCATACAATATACCCATGTGACAAACCTGTACATGTACCCCCTGTATATATAATAAAGGTAGAAATTTTTTAAACAATAAAATAAAAATAAATCTCCCTCTAAAAAAATTAAACTGAACTGTATACTCATGTAGTATAACCAAAGATAATAGGGTGTTTCTAATTTAAGGTTGAAATATTCTAAGCAAAATTAACTAGAGCTATCTTTGCTCATTTCAGTTAATTTCTTGTCTATATACAAGCCAAGATTTGAGGTAAATAACAAGGCAACACTTAAAATGAAAAAATGACAATTTTTTATTCTTATAAAATATTTTATACAAAGTAAGAATACCTAAAACAAGGAGATTTTGGGGTCAAATGGCATACATATATTTTGGCAGATAATTAAATGGCCAAAGTCATATTGATGGTAGAGTTTCAATACAACTTTTCCTTTATTCTTAACTTTCTTATTCACATTTAAGAGAAACAAAAATGCACACATTCTGTTTGTTTAAGTGTGGGCCAGTATGCTTTAAAAATATATCTAATTTCCCTCATCTACTCTAGCAAAAGCAGAGTATCAGATAATTATTTCTAAACACAGCAAAGGCTTATAGAGTAACATTATCTTTCTCCTTGCATATCGGTGAAATGTAGACAACACTGTCATCATTCTGACTTACCACAACCTAATTTTATACATGAATGGATTCTTCAAATAGCCAAAAACGGAAATAACCCAAATGCCCATCAACTGATTAATAAATGGATAAACAAAATGTAGACTACACAATGAAATATTATTCAGCCATAAAAAGGAATGAAGCACTGATATGTGCTGCAAAATGATTTAACAAGAAAACACTATGCTAAGTAAAAGAAGCCAGACACAGAAGATCACATATTATATGATTCCATTTATATGAAATATCCAGAATAGAAAAATTTACAGAGCCAAGAAGTAGATTAGTGATTACCTAGGGCTGGTCAATTTGGGGAGAAATAGGGAGTACAGCTAACATAGGTATGGAGATTTTTTTAAGGAAGCCTAAAAATTTTCTAAAGTTAGATTGCACGGATAGTTTCACTACCCTGTGAATACACTAAAAAAATTGAATTGTACACTTTAAATGGGTGGATTCTATGTATGTAAACTGTATCTTGATAAAGTTATTTTAAAAATTTAATGATCTCAGCCAGGCGTGGTGGCTCACACCTGGAATCCCAGCACTTTGGGAGCCTGAGGCAGGTGGATCACGAGGTCAGGAGTTCAAGACCAGCCTGGCCAACATGGTGAAACCCCATCTCTACTAAAAATACAAAAATTAGCAGGGTGTGGTGGTGGCACCTGTAATCCTAGCTACTAGGGAGGCTGAGGCAGGAGAATCGCTTGAACCTAGGAGGCAGAGGTTGCAGTGAGCCAAGATCATGCCATTGCACTCCAGCCTGGGTGACAAGAGCAAGACTCAGTCTCAAAAAAAAAAAAAATAATAATCTCAGATCCTTGTTATTTAAAAAAATACCCTGATATATAACCACATTTCAGCTTATAATGCATTTTAATGGAATGCCACTTACATATAAATATTATTTTTAACTTTTTATCATTTTATTTTTTCAGATTTATTGAGGTATAAATGACTAATTAAAAACTGTATATATCTAAGGTGTAAACAATGTGATGTTTTGATATACATATACATTGTGAAGTGGTTACCACCATCAAACTAATTAACATATCCATAGCAAGATTTTCATTGACTTCCTCCCTACTTACTCACCTGATCTCCTTTCTGAAACTCTACATCAATTGGTCTTTTCTGTTCACTGATCTGCCCAGGTGGCCCAGGTGGGCCCTGAAGACCTTGCTCACCCTGTTTGCAAGACAAAATAAGGCAGTGATATTTCATAACCACCACAGACAATAATATGACATGTAAGATAAGATAACTGCAAGAATCAAGAGAAAGAAAGAAGGCAGTTCAAATGACTACAAAAAGAGAAAGCTGAGGGCTGAATAACCAACTCTCTTTCTTTACTCACCTTTTCACCCTTGGGTCCCTGGAAATTTAAGCCCATATTCCCCTGGAAAGAGAAGTTTCCATTTAAAAATCTCACTGACAGTAAGAAAAGAATACACACCAAATAAAAGATATAAAGAAAAAGAAAATTACCTTTGGTCCTGGAAGTCCTGGTGGACCAGGAGGGCCCTATGAAGAGAAGAAAAAAGAGAAAATAAAATGTTATATTAATAAGTTAATTTTAAAAGTTACTTAGTTTCAGAAAGAGTAAGGTGTGAAAAAGCACATCAAAATAGTATTTTCTTGTCTGTTTTCATTTTAGTCAGAGACACACGTTTTAACTGATTAAAATGAGTTAGATGAATGTGAGTACCTCTGATGACAGAACAGAAATGGGCAAGAGAAAAAAACTGGGATGGGCAGAGGTAGACAGGTAGCCCCAGTGTCAAAAATCAATTCAAAAGTTAATCTCAACAGCCCATCAAATTTTTCACATCAGAATTATACGTAAATTTAGGTACCATAACGCAATTAACTATCAAGTTCCAAAAACCATGTGTTATTTTTTAAAATCCAGTTTGATTTTTATACAATCTGACTTTGTGTATTTGAGAATGTTTCAAGGTTTGAAAAATTAAATAGGCACCTTTCTGCTCAAGTATGTTGCCTCTTAACCTCAATGGGCCTATTTATTTATATATTGTATCTTGGTGACATTTCTTTCGTTGTTTTTTTTTTTTTTGAGACGGAGTTTCCCTGTTGTTGCCCAGGCTGGAGTGCAATGGAATGATCTCGGCTCACCACAACCTCCGCCTCCTGGGTTCAAGCGATTCTCCTGTCTCAGCCTCCCGAGTAGCTGGAATTACAGGCATGCACCACCAAGCCTGGCTAATTTTTTGTATTTTTAGTAGAGACAAGGTTTCTCCATATTGGTCAGGCTGATCTCGAACTCCCAACCTCAGGTGATCCACCCGCCTTAGCCTTCCAAAGTGCTGGGATTACAGGCATGACCTACCGCACCCGGCCTCTTGGTGGCATTTCTAAGATTTGGCTTCACCTGTTGAATTAGGGTTAATTCAAGGAATATCCAGAAATGTAAAGTGAATCGGTTAAGTGGCCACAATGGTTCAGGAAATTCAAGGTGTAACAACATACTCAAGGGGCACCAATGTTCCAACAGCAGAATTAGGAAAAAGTGTAAAAGTCCATAGTTTCATGCTTTGCATTAAGTCTACAACTAAAACAAACTGAAGGGTTTTGTAATCTTCCCCCAAAAAGTTATAGGAAAGCAGAAATCACAATCTTTTCTGGTAGATTCCTCTAGTATTCATCAAACATTATTTCCTTCATTCAAAAGTGCAGGACCAATTGTCACAAACAAAAATGTACAATCTATACAGGTATAATGAAAACTGTCACTTAAATATATGGTAGATGAGAGATAGAGTGGCATATGAGAAATTACTTCTACTGAAATACAATTTTCTTGGCCTTTTAAGAGGGCAACAGCAAAGTTGTAAGTCCAAAACATGACTTGAATGAAATCTAAGTATTGCAGAAGTAAAAATACTTAGAATTTACAAGGATAGAAAATAAGAGTGACTATAGAGGTAGTAAAGTAAGAGAATCGGTTACACATTCAGGATCTGTAGAAGTTTTACGGGTATAAAAACCTGTGACCAATTGCATAGTGATCGCTCCCCTCACCAATTCTACTGTTTTGTCCCAGGCGCCTAAGAAATGAAAGCCAATATTTTTTATGAAGCCCTGCTTTTGTTCTTCTTAAACAAAAAATTGCAGTTTGAAGAAACATGTTTCATCAAGTGATTAGAAAACTGCCTTAAAAGACTTTCTGAAATGGCCAGAATTGACTTCAACACTGATACATCAAGAAGCAACCAACAAAATATTTCATCATAAATCTTTCCTTTTATATACCTCATTTTTCCATCTATAAAATGGAGCCATTACTTAGAATGCATATTATTCACCACATCATTGTAAAGTCACCTTTAAATAAGAAAATTATAAATTAGGAATGTTGAGAATGCATTATGTTTTCAAGTATTATAAATAATATTAATATTCATGAAAGAAGTCAGAAAGGAAAGGGGGAGAAATTAAATTAAAGAAGAGAGCTTACCATCAAACCTGGTGGTCCTGAGGGACCAATTGGCCCTGGTATACCAGTGGGACCAGGTAGGCCCTGTTATAAAGTGAGTAAAGAAAATGATGAAAATAAAAAACAAAAAAACTAAAAAAACAAGCCCTTCATTGTATTTTTTTTTGGTAGACAAAGTCTCACTCGTGTTGCCCAGGCTGGAGTGCAATGGCATGATCTCGGCTCACTGCAACCTCCGCCTCCTGGGTTCAAGTGATTCTCCTGCCTCAGCCTCCTGAGTAGCTGAGATTACAGGCACCTGCCACCACGCCTGGCTAATTATCGTATTTTTAGTAGAGACGGGGTTTCACCATGTTGGCCAGACTGCTCTCGATATCATGACTTGGTCTCCCAAAGTGCTGGGATTACAGGCGTGAGCCACTGTGCCCGGCCCCCTCATTGTATCTTACAAAGAACTAAATGGATGAAATTTGGACTTCATTTAAACTTCAGTTGTCACTGGAATTCTGCTCTACAATTTTATCATTCAGCAATATTCTAAGTGAAATTTTAAAATGCATAGGGATAAAAGGATTAAGTAGTTATAAGAAAACTTGTGGTTTAAAGTGGTAAATAAATATAAGACAAATAATAAGGAAAATTTACAAAATAAAGTGATAAAGGTATGCATTTAGTTGGGGCTTTTATGCTATAAATGAGAAGGGAAAGGCTAGTACTTTCAAGATAGCTTCTCTAATTTAAAAATAGATAAGATTAAAGACAGAGGGAAATAAGAGTAACTGGGATAAATTATAAGAGAATGATACAAGTGTTATGGAATAATTTGGCATGTTAAAAACCGAAAATTTGGCCTATAATCTAGCAATTCTATAGTTAGATATAAATCATGGATTTTTTTGTAATGAAAAAATTGTGGGCTTGGCACAGAGGCTCACACCTGTAATCCTAACTAATACTTTGGGGGGCCTAAACAGGAGGATCGCTTGAGCTCAGATATTTGAGACCAGCCTTGGAAACATGGTGAGACCTTGTCTCCACGAAAAATTTTAAAAAGTAGCCAGGTGTGGTGATGTGCACCTGTGGTCCCAGCTACTCAGGAAGCTGAGGTGGGAGGATTGCTTAAGCCCAGGAGGTCGAGACTGCAGTGAGCCATGATCATGCCACTGCACTCCTTTCTGGGCAAGAGTGCAAGATGCTATCTCAAAACAACAACAACAACAAACACCACATAAAACAAAAAACACCAAATTGTAGTATGTTCACAAATGGAAAGTTATATGAAAGTGAAACTGAGTGAACTAAAGCCATATCCAAGAATATGGATGAATCTTAGCATATCAAGTAGAAAAAGTAAGTTGCAGAAAACTACATAAATATTACATTATTTTATAAAGCAAAACTAAATATTCTATTACTTAGAAATATATGCATATATAATAAAGCTATTTTTAAGGCACAGTGGAAAACTCAGGAGGGTAGCTATGTCTTGGGGCAAAGCAGAAGGATTTGGTTACCAAGGGACACACAGGTTGATTAAAAATCATTTGTAATTTTCTAGCTCTTAAATGTTGTTCACTTTATAGTTATGCTTCATAACATACGTATATTTTGCATGTATTCTGTTGTATTTTCAAATATTACTTCATAACAATTTATAAAATATAAAGGGCAAGATTGAGTGAATTTTAAAAACTGTGCATGGGTGATATCAAGTAAGAAATGAGAAGGTAGCTAATGAAAAAAGTCCCCAGTCTTGTATCTTAGTGATAAACTACCAGAAAGTTTTGATTTTTCATTTTGGGCAAAGGAATCAATTATCATGAAATATAAACTCTGAGAAATTGACCTCCTAATCTACATTCAAAAGTTACTGCTCTCTCTATGCATGTTTTCTACAGGCTAAAATTTTTTTCTTAAGATTACATTTGATGTTCACTATGCATAAACTGTATTCCTTCAGCCTTCAAAATATGTTCATATGTTACGCATAACTGATAGTGTTACAAATGATATATTTTAATATATTCAATGGGACACCCATACTTTTTATTTTTAATTAGGTCTTTTGTAAATGTACAAAAGACCCTACTGCTCTCCACAGTACAAGAATAAGAATATAGAACCCTATTTCTGCTGCCAATCCCCAAAAAACTGGATAGAAAAGCAGAAGAATGAAGCAGATGTTGTTAAAATTCTCCCTGGTCCAGATTGCTTTTATTTTCAGGTAGAAAGTACATGTAATGTCTAATAAACATCTGATGATAATTTTTACGACAAAAACAGAGAGTACTAAAGGTTGAGGGATTGTTGTAATCTTTTGGTTTAATCAATATAGCAAAAAAAGAAAATCACCGGATACTTACTTGCATTCCAGGAGGACCTGGATATCCTGGATTACCCTTTGGTCCTGGCAGTGATGACATAATTATACTACCTGGTTCACCCTAAAAGAAGCCATCAATGGAAGTTCTATGACACAGTTATTATACATGAAAACCAGCAAACCACAAAAATGATCTGAAGATTCAATTTGTAACAGAGATGTACTAAAAGATTAGGCCATCTCAGTAATAAAAAACTTTTAAAGGAAAATGAGGAAGTGGCCAGAGTACACTGAAGAACAGTAGATTTATTAAGAGTGTAGTACCTTCAGTTACTCGTAAAAAATACGTAGTAAATATTAAGTATTTGCCAACAACTGTGGTAGGTTCTGGGTAATCAGTAATAGAGAAGATAAACAAGGCCTCTGTTCTCATAAAGCTAACAATATAATGGGAAAATACAGACCTTAATATGTAAAAATATAAGATGACAACATCAAGGGCTGCGAATATTAAGGGCTATGAAGAAAAATACGTGGTACAATAATTGAAAAAAAACTAGTGGAGAAAATTACTTTAGTTTGGGTAGTCAAAGAAGGGCAATCTGTGAAGGTAACATTCAGCCTGAGACTTGAAGGATAATGAGTCATTCAGGTAAAGACAGGAGGAAGAATATTAGGCAAAGTAAACCATATACACGAAAGACTCCAAAAGCAAAACGTTTGGCATATCCCAATAACTAAATGCAGACTGATGTGGTCAGTGAGCTAAAGGATAAGTTTAGTGGTTTAAGATAAGGCTGTCAATATAGGCAAGGACCAGAGCATGCAGTTCTTACAAACAAACTATGGACTTTACCTTAGATACACAGTAGAAAGTCCTTGAAGATTTATAAGCAGGGAGATTAAATTATCAATTAACACTTTAAAAATATCATTCTTGGTTGCTTTGTAAAGAATAAAACAGGAGGGGAGGTAAGGATGGAGCAGTAGTGAAAAAAAGAGACTAGATAAGAGGTTATTGCAGTAATCAAGATGAGACATTATGACTAACGTGGTAATAGTGGAAATGAAGAAAAGTGGATGAATTTAAGATGTCTTTTATAGGCACACTTAGTGTTTAGTGATGGAATTGAATGAGGAGGTGTGTGAAAGAATGGAAAATATAAATGTTAACTTCCAGGTTTTGAGATCATGTAAAAGTGTACATAACATATAGAGATGTAAATCTGAGATACGAGGAGCCAGAGGGAGGAGCAGGTTTATTTTGTGGGTGGGTTTACTTGGAACATGTGGAGATGTCAGAGAGGCTGATGAATACACATAGCTAACTCAGAAGAAAAGTCTGATTTGGTATTCAGTAACTAGATAGTAATCAATAATATGGGCATTAGTAATATTTCTGGGAAGAAGGAGTACAGACTGTGACCTGATGTTTGATGGGCATAAAAGAATGAGCTTACATAAAAGACTGCAGAATAACCAGAGGTGCAGAAGAAAAATCAGGAAAGGACAGTGTAACAGAAGCCAGAGAAAAAAATAATTCTACAGAGAGTAGGTGGTCAACTGTATCAAAGTGTAAGAAGATGAAGACTTAAAGTGTCAGAAAAGAAACTCAAGTCTAATATACACATTTTCAAGTGTATCAGCACATACAAGGTACTTAAAGCCATGGGAACACAGGAGACTACTTGTAAGTTTACAAGCTTACAAGCTTGTAAGTTTATACCTGCACAACTTCTAAAACACCAATTTTAAGACAGAAGTTTGAGTCATTATCCTATTGAAGTTGCAGGCTATCCTAATATTTTATTCAAAACATTCGTTCCCCAGGATGAGATGCTTACCTTCATACCTGGGATCCCAGGGGGTCCCTATTATTAAAAAGAAAAAGGATTATTTTATATGTATGAGAGAGAAACAAGTCAATTACAGAATGCTTTCTAAATAGAGTGTAAACTGAGTAGACTGCTGTAGCATCATTTCTGAATAGGATATATCTTAGGATACTTAGAGGTGACATTTATATACATATAAATTCTTGCTTTTGCCCAGCAGAAAGCTATATTACCAACTTCTTTTTGAAACATTTTCCTCTAGTTTATTACTTTAAAATGTATTACTTTGTTCCACATGAATGCCCTGGGCTTTCTCACTACATGTCTGCTTCTTTTGTTAATTCCTGTGTTCATCATAATCCCAAATTTTATAACTTACTGGAGGACCCTGTAAACCGGGAAAACCGGGACTGCCTGGAAATCCACGTTCTCCCTAGAAGGAGTTAAAAATAAAGAGCATGGAGGAACAAGAAACAAAGAATAACTATACCATCAAGATATGACTTCTTGAAAAGATTTCTGTAAAAGCCATTTTGAAACATACCAGATTGCCAAAAAGTTCATTAGCCTTCACTTTCCAATTACTTCAATATCAACTATCCATATCAATTCAACTTTTATCCCAATTCATCCATCCCAATCAGAAGCAAAGAAAAAAAATCATCCACCTCAGTTCTTTTCTTCCAACAAAGACATTTTGAGACAATCATGCCACAAATTCCTATCATCACATTTAATAGTTAATGATCTGCCCCAATTTCCTGCCCACGTGTTATATAGATTCTTACTTTAACTGCTCTATTACATTTTTCTTTTATCGTAAACGATTTCAAATTATTTTTGTAAAGGGGAAAAGATGGTAAGAAAGAAGGCCATTAATATCACCAAGAGGACAATAATAGCAATAGTTCTAGCAATTGCAGGTCATTATGTTTTCTAGGCACCCAGTACTAATATGGACACTTGGTTTAGAAAACAAAAGCTGAAATTGTTGAAGAACACCAAAGCAACCTCATTTCAAATACCTATACGCCATGGTAATCCTAGAAACAACTTCATCAGAAGGTTTGAAAGAATAAAATTACTACTGTTGTGTCTTTGTGAGTCCAATACCCTTCTCTCCACCTTGTTGCACATGGGAAAAGTAGGTCCCGAGAGAAAGGAAGTGGCCTAGACATCAAGTTTAAAAGAGAGAAAAAGAAAAAAACCTATATATTGTGGCTCCAACTTTAAAGTTCATTCTTTTACTTACATAGTAAGAAATGTAAGAAAAGCATTCAGACTTAAAATATACATAATAAAACAATTTAATTTGTTTAAAGTTTGTTACTCACATAGTTGGAAGCCTGAAACACAAGTTAATCAATGCTCCCTTTAATCATATAGCACACTGTCCTGATTATAGATACACTAGGCCTTCAAATTTGAAACTTTGGCTAGTGGTCTGTTTGTTGCTTAAAGCACACTGGCAAAAATAAGTAAGTATATAAAAATAAACAAATAACCAGACAAGGCACAAAAATTTAGTCAAATTTAACATGAAATGTATCAGGTAAACTAACTCCACATTGGTCTTATTACTTTAAAGTTGCCCTAGCTAAAATGAAGAACATGATTGGTCCTCACAAATCCCAAATTTAAAAAATTATTATTAACAAGGGTTACATTGACCTGAAGAAATATTGGAGATGAAAAGAACTGTACTGCCTCAAGTATATAGTACAGTATCACAAAATATGGCCATTGTAATGCAAAATAGTTTGTTCGAGTTATTTTAAAAATATGCCCTATATAAAATCTGACATAGGCCATTAGTTAGAAAGATCTGGCCAGGCGCAGTGGCTCACACCTGTAGTCCCAGCACTTTGAGAGGTCAAGGCGGGTGGATCAAGAGGTCAGGAGTTCGAGACCAGCCTGACCAACATGGTGAAACCGCATCTCTACTAAAAATACCAAAAAAATTAGTTGGGCATTGTGGCACATGCCTGTAATCCCAGCTGCTCAGGAAGCTGAGGCAGGAGAATCACTTGAATCCGGGAGGCAGAGGTTGCAGTGAGCCAAGATCATGCCATTGCACTCCAGCATAGGCAACAGAGCAAGACTCCGTCTCAAAAAACAAAACAAAACGAAACAAAGAAAGAAGGATCTAAGGTATTTTATGAATAGTTTTACAGAATATTATGTGAAAAACAGAAAATACCAAAAGAAAATACAGAGAATAACAATATATTGCATTAACCTAAAGGAAAAGGGGAAAGGGGAGGGAATAAGAATTGGTTATAATATGTAAGCTTACAAAAAGGGCAAAATTTCCTCATTTTTTCTTGCTATCTATTACTTTATATTCAATCCAACAGTTGACTAAAGAGAAGAAACATTGGATCAGAAAAAAAAAGTTTGCCGTATCTAAAGTTAGGGTTATTTAAAATTGTTAAACGTATCATCTTTGCCGATGAAGAAGTTTCAGTTTTCATACTGACGGTTTATAGTAAAAATGGATGTGCTGCATTACATATAATTTTTTAAGATTTTTCTTAAGGAAGTTATTTGGTGTGTTAAAAAAACTTAAAAACATGAAATATTTGAAAACATAAATTGTACCTAGGTTTTTAATAATGGCAAAGCAAATGAATGACATTCAGAAGTGTTACTTTCAACAACTGATATAATATTTGAAACATATATGTCCTAATTCTGTTTTAATTCTCATCCTACTTTATGCTAAAGCCAAAAAAGGATTTGGTAAGTAATCTTCAACCCAATGCAACATCCCACCTAATTATAAATGTTTAATGAAATTATTGATAGTTCAATATATAGAAAATTATAGTCAGAGCATACTTTATGTAATATCCTAGACCTGAAGCCACTATATCCCTTCTTCTATATTTTAAGTTAATTATTGTCAAGTATACTACCTAAGATTAAGTGGATGGATCTCACCTTGGTTCCATTGCATCCAGGAATACCTTGAGGTCCTGGGGCCCCATCATGGCCTGGCATTCCCTTTGAAAAGCAACACAACACATGTATAATATGTCTTAGATTACTTTTCAAGAGGTTTCAAACTAAAAAGTGAAATGCTACTTACAGGAAGACCTGGTGTCCCTGGAAATCCAGGAAGTCCAGGAGGACCCTATAAGAAGAAATAAAATCCTTAAACTAAATGACAACCAATAACAATAAAATAATATCCTACCTAAGGATATTATGAAAATTATTTTAGAATAGATTTGGAAAAAAATGTGTCTCACTATTTATTACCACTCATTGTTCTTTGAAACATTAGAGAAAAATCTCTTATATGTGTTTAAAAGTCTCTTTTATTGAAAACTATAAAAGAAACTTCAATTCGAGGGAGTATTGTCTTCATTGCACTTATTAGGAGGAGGCAAATTCGTGGATGAAATGTCTCTTCTAACAGATAAAGATCTCCCAGGTTTGTGATAAAAATTAATTCAGCAGGGGATGGGGGAGGAGCAAATATATTGCCCCTGAAGACATTAACAGTGATCACTCCCAAAATTCTTAAATTTCTCTGTCATGATTGGCAAAAATACAAGTTTGACAATATTCTCTGTAGGTGAGGCTATGGTGAAAAAGTATTCTCATATACTGCTAATGAAGATTCAAATGCTGTGGAGGGAAATTTGGAAATATCTAGCAAAGTTACCCATGCATTTGCCTTTTGACCTAGCATTTCACTTCTAAGAATCTATCCTGAAGATACCCTAGAAATTATGAAACAAAATATGAGAAACAAAGTTAACAACTGCAGCATTCTTATAGCTAAAGTTTAGAAACAATCATATAACCAGTTATAGTTAAAATTAGAAACAACTTGATACGGTTTGGCTGTGTCCCTAACGAAATCTCATCTTGAATTGTAGCTCCCATAATTCCCCCATGTTGTGGGAGGGACCCGGTGGGAGATAATTGAATCATGGGGGTAGTTTCCCCATACTGTTCTTGTGGTAGTAAGTCTCACAAAATCTGATGGTTTTATAAGGAGTTTCCCCTTTTGTTTGGCTCTCATTTTCTCTTGCCTGCTGCCATGTATGATGTCCCTTTGCTCTTCTTTCATCTTCTGCCATGATTGTGAGGCTTCCTGAGCCATGTGGAACTGTTAGTCCGTTAAACTTCTTTCCTTTATAAATTACCTAGTCTTGGGTATGTCTTTATAAGCAGTGTGAGAACAGACTAATACACAACTCAAATGACCACCAACAGGAACATGACTAAACAAATTATGGCACATTCACATCATGTAAAACTATGATTACTGTGTAAAAACTAATGATTACCTCTCAAAGGAAGATTAAAACACTAGGGAAATGGCAAGAAAGAAAGGGAAGCATCTCTGACTACACCTTGTCTTATAAAACCACATAGATATTTTAAATAGTTTAAAAAATTTTTAAAAGGTAAAAAAGGAAATCATTAAAAATGAAAAATATATTCGATCCAGTGTACCTATGTTTCAAGTTGTTGACAAAACCATACAGAGAAAAGAATCACTTCAAGTGCCTTTCATCAAACGTGGTGTCTTGACTGTAATTCTTTAGCAAAACTGGTGAATTCAAAGGGGAAAATCCCAGCAAATAAATAATTAATGGCTCTCAAGAATCCTATTATCACTATTAAAATTTAAATTGTCATTTTGATAAATTATACATTGTTATTTTGAAGCATATTAATAAGAAATTACATTTATGTTATTAGGAATGAACATTTTCACCTCAACAGAGAGAGAGATGAGGGGGAGAGATAATAAGTATACAAAACCTTTCTTAATTTTAAATTGCAATTGGAAGTAAAAATATGAACTCATGTTAATTTTCTCTTAAAAATACATATTTCCACTGAGAAGACATTGAAACAATGACAAATCCAGTAGCAATAAAGACCCGTAACATTCAGACTGTGGTATCTAAATCACATTTTTCACTAAAAAGAACCTGGAATCAGAGATATGACCCATTTCAGATCTAAAGGGAAAATGCAAAGGATGAGCCTGAAAGAGCTTGCTGTGCCAAAAAGCAAGAAGTTATCAAAGATCAGTGGAGTTTTCTGAAAAGAACACAGGACAGGAGTCAACTTTAAAAGGCTTTCACAGGCAAAAGATGGGACAAACTGGCCTTCAAAAAAATGACTACAATTGATTGAAACACACAAATTCCATGTGCATATGATGAAAACAAAAAGTCAAAGAACTTTCCTTGATGACCACTTGAAGTTTCTGGTGTAGCAACTCATCCTTATTAGAATTCCAGCTAATAAATGAATGATTAATAGAATTTTAAAAATCAGCATCTTGCAAGTCTGAACAAAATAATGACCATCCATGGGTGCCAAATCATTAGTGTAAGTTGACAGGGAAATTTTTGATGGCAGAATCAGGCTAATGTTATCTGAGAATACTGATCAAACCTAACATCAAAAAAAAAAAAAAAAAGAATAGCCTGATATTCATGCTGCATAAGGTTATTCAATAGTTAGGTTCACAACACTACCTATAAAGTATACTTTTTCCTATTTTCTTTAATGTTATTGCAGTATGATTTACATACAGCAAAATATACCAATCTTAAGTGTACAATTCTGTACTCCCAGAAAGTTCTTTAGTGCCTCTTCCAAGGCAACCTGAAATTTGCAAGAAATATGGGGGACAGAGGAACAATTTAAATGACATCATGAAGAAACAAATCAGCCAAATCCAGAATGTGGAACGCAGTACAATGACCCAGTTTTTCTGATGGCATAATAAAACAAGTTTAATAAACAGCAACCCAAAGCAATACATGGAACTTGCTTGGGTCTAAGTTGAATAAACCATTACAAAAGGACATCTTTCAGACAACTGAGGAAAACTGAATGTGGACTGAACGTCAGAGTACTGAAAAACTATTCCTAATGTTTAAAGGTATGATGATGGTTTAGTTGTTATGTGGTTGTTAGTTAGAGGGGCATGCTGAAGTTTTCATTGGTAGAATGAATGATGCAAGGGATTTACCTTAAAATATTCCAAAAAATAAAGAGGTAAGGTATATGTTAAACAAAACTATCAAAATGTTGTTAATTTTTGAAGCTGGGTGATGAGTTCATGGGGGGTCATTATACTATATGCTCTGTACATTTGTATATTTTTATCAGTTTCCACAATAATGTCTTCAAAATTCTCCATGTCAAGAATTGTCTGTGAGCTGACACCTGAGGATGCAGAAACTATCAGGCCACCTATTCCCAAGAACTGGAGTTCTAGTTGAGGGACATGGAGTATCAAAGCAATCTCAAACACCTGCAATGAGAATGAGAAAACAGCCAATTCTTTTTAGTCTAAATAGTGCTTAGAATATAGAACATAGTTAATGTTAACTATAGGGATATTAAAAATTATTTTTATTATTATAAAGAGCTTTAATAGTATATTGATATCAATTTTTACAGAAAAATAAAGAATTATGTCTGCTGAAATAAACTAAGGGTTTTGAGTTTCTTCCCTGCTTTTCCAGTACCCTATCCGTATTAGTCATAGGATGCACACAAGGCAAGCTACATGCTTTTAAGAAGTATATAGCAAATATAATATTTTTAATGTTTGTAAAATTTATACATCTACTAAATTTCTGAAGATCAAATGGTTAGCTTTGTCACACATGTAAACATGCTATGTCACCAATTATGTATTTTATTTTCAAATTAGGGAGCTTCATCAATCTATGAACACAGTATTTCAGAGCTAAAAGGGACCTTGGAGATTGTTCTGTTTAGCTCTCTAACTTAACAAATGAAGAAGCTGAGGTTCAGAAAATGTGATTTTTTAAAAGCCAGTACTATTTTTTAAACTACAGTTTCCTCTCAGTTGTAAAATACACGGTAAGACATATGTCAACTTAAAAGCTTTTGAGAAAAAATTATACTAAATGTACATTTCAATTTTGAGATGCATCCTTACTTTTCAGAGCCTCAAGACTTGAAAAGTCACGCACGTTAGATTTGAAGAAATGCAGTATTCCAAAATAGTTATTCTTTAATATAGTGGTTTTAACTAAACTTATTCTCTTCCAGATACACAAAAGAATGATAATGTTTATACATGGTACACTAGGAGTATATACAGTCTGAGGTAACCAGCCTTCTGGACCTAGGCTGAGATAATCACACCAGTTAGGAAGTTCTGGTTTAAACCAACTATATGATACAGATTTTTAATTAAACGACAAACTTTAGAATTCAGGACTTTCATAATTCTCAACCATAAGCTACTTTAAAATCATTTTATATTAAATAGACGTATATATACACACATATATATAATAGCTATCAAAATACTAAAGAAGGGTTAGTTACAGACACATACCAACTCTTAAATGTAATTTTTTGAAGACTATATTTATCTTCCTGCCTTTTAATATGGGTCTTTTCCAACTGTCTCATAATATTTCATTGTTCTTTATCTGTTTCCACCAACAAAGTATTTGATATAGAGAAAATACTACTTACTCTGATTCCTTTTGGTCCTGGTGGCCCTGGAATTCCATCATCACCCTGAAAAATGCAATATTTTTAGTTTTTTCCTTCAAAAAAGTCCTCAAATAACTAATCTTCAATTATAAAATAGGAGATTTAAACTACTGTAAACATCTGTGAAAGTTAGTGAAAAACTTATACACCCAAGGAAGAAGCAATTACTATTGAGACTGAAAGCATTGAGGTAAATTGTATGACCCCAAATAAGAAAGGCCTTTATTTCCTGAGAAGGAAATCGCTGACATATGAATGAAACTTTGTACCTATAAAGTTAATTATGAACCATACAAGAAAACAAAGATAAAATATTGATACAGTCATTCTCCAAATAATTTATTTATAAACAAAATAGGAGCTGAAAATCTGGTCAGTTACCACATTATGTTAATCTGCTTGCCATGCTTGTATAATGAGCATCATCTCTGAGCCCAAATATGTGCTGTTCTCGAATCTGCTGTTTTTAAACCTCTGCTTTGTTTTATAATGCACTTTGTATTGGCATAGCTTAAGAACGATTTAAAAAGAACCATAAACTTTCCTTTCTAGCTATCAGTTCCATACAAAAGAACCTACCCATGTGTGTATGTTAATATATGTACCCATTTCTAGTCACAACCGCATTACTGAGAATTGAGTCTTACCTCACTGAGTTTTCATTAACTATTTTCTTTAAAAAATCGGAATTAAAAAACCTAATTCTGCTCCAAGGAAAAGGAACTTTTAATAGCAAAAAATTGAAACTTACCTAAATAATTATCAACAGGGGACTAGCTTAATAATTTATGGTTTATATGTACACAATGTTAACTTATGGTTTATATATACAATGAAATACAATGCAGTTATACAAAATGAGGAAGTTCTGTATATATTGATAATATGATGTCTACAATGTATATTAAATTAAAAACAAAGGTCAAACTGTGTGTTCAATGTGCTACTATTTTACAAACAAAGGTTGTTAAAGTGTGTGTGCATAAGTCAGGGACTAATGGACACAGGTGAAAAGCAGAACTTTAATTGTATACCCTCTTAATTTATTTTGAATGACATGAACATACTGCCTATCAAAAATTAACTAAATTTGATTTTTTAGAATAAAAAAACCTTTGGAAAATTACGAGTGTACAGATTAAAGAATAATTCTACAAGTTTTTTGACTTAGTATATATGTTAACATACACATGTACCAGAATACCCAATCACATAAAGGGTATAAGTTCAGCTGTTCGGGGAAATATGGAGTCATACTGGACATAGAAGCACACAATGCTTCAAATTCAGAATCCTGAAAGTTTAGAAAGCAGTTTACCTTCTCTCTTTTCAGATAATTGAAATGAAATCACAAAAAAAAACTGGACTGCTTTCTAAACTTAACCTGCATACAAGCACACCTTTATAAATGATCATGTTATTGTAGAATAGTCCTAGTTAATACTAAATTATTTCAAAGGAGTTCTAATTTAGGTAACTTATTTTAATTGAACACAAATCTTTATTAAAACTGCCATCTCTCAGCAAGCATGGGGTGCAAGAAACTCAGTCCCTAATCCCAAGTAAACTTAGATACAAGAAATGTAACTTTTCCTGTAGCTTAACTTAATTCTCTTCCAAAATGCCTATTTCTATAACATGGCTGAAGTTTAATCTCAGTCCATTGGAGTTGCCACTTCATTTTCACAAGATCGTGTCTCAGTTTTGGATAACTTAACTAGTTCCAATATGTTGAGGAGTGCTACGGTCTAGTCCAAGCTGGTATTCATTGAGTTGTTCCATGCCAATAGGATGCATGGATTGCTGCCGAGTTAGTGCTCAATTCCATCCACTTGACTCTTTCAGATATCTCTGATACTTCTGTGCTACTCCTGGGTGCACAAGAATCACTCTGTTGCTGTTGCTCTTGCTCTTGATGTGCCATTAGAGACAGGAAATTCAGTTGAGTAGTTCATCTACCAAAATTGTATGCAGACATTTAGGGTCCTGCTGTTTTCTAAGTACTAAAGTTCTACTTGAGAAATTTAGCACAGGTCCCTTCTGCTCTTAAATCTAACAAAACTACCTGATGTACTGCTATCCTCCCAGAGATCATGACCAACATTCTCCCAAAATCTAAGCTCTGATTATAGTTAAGTGTTAAAAAGTATTCATGCATTTAAATTAATTTTCTCCCTTTATTGGAAAGACTACTTAGTAAGTATCCATTTGATTTCCTTAATACTCTAACAACATGATGTACCAACATTATATAAAATAATAAAATTAAGAAAAAGGGTTTTAAGCCAGTTTTCCTTTCCAGGCAAATGATCAGAAGTAGTCCTTTCATATATCAATTCACCAGTCTACCTAATACAGATGGAAAAAGGCACTCAGCCAAAAGAGTCATTTAAAAAAAAAACCCAGAAAATTATCTGAGTCTTAAGTTCACTATTGTCTCTTCCAATTCCATATCTTAATATGCACATTGAGATGCTATTCTTGCTCATGATATAGGACAGACTGCCCACATGGCAGTCAATGGACAGAGTCCCCACAACTGATAGGTTGCGACTACCTCCAGATCCACGAGCTGATCCATGGGACTGGAGGGTAGGGATCTAACCTCTCTTCCCTTTCTCCCACAGACTAACCTTATGACTTCCACCTTACTAAATTCATTGATTGCCTGTCCCATGTAGTTTACACGACTCTGATTTTGACAAACTAATGTATATGTCACCTTATCGCTGAACCCTGCAGATAAACATCTGATTGCTGTGCTGCTATTACGAATGGACACTTCTCTAAACATGGACCATTTTAGTACTTCAGGTACCCTAACTTTATTACATTGAACCTGATAGACTGCAACAATTGTCTCTGATACCACAGGAACAAAATACCTCCTCGGATGTCAACTCACTCCTGTCCCATATGGTAGTAATTGAATTATCTGGGAAAAGGGACATATGATCTGTCATTGGAGCCATTTTGGCCTCGATGGTGGTGGCAATTTATTTCTCTATTCCTGCCTCCACCTTACAAAAATATTTCAATTTCATTCAAGTACTCTGCCCACCAGGAGGGACTTCTGGCTGGTTGATCCCCATGGTAACCAATGATTCTTACATTCCCAGAACTGTGTGCACTCTTCTTGGGATATTATTTTTTTTGTAAAAATCAGGCCTTCAACATTCCTACCAATGTAACATACATAATACATTGATAAGAGATAACTCAAATATTCAAAACAGTCCCTCTCATTAAGCATAAAACATTACATAAAACAAAATGAGAACTCCAAAACTAGATAGACTCCGGTTATTCAGGAGAATTGCCAGCTGGCATTACCTACGGTCTACTCATGGGAATACTCCAGACAACTTTTCTCACTGTCAGCGTCACTCAGTTAGGAAAGGTTGTTCACAACCTGTCTTTGACCCTCGCTGAGGTCATTAATGACACTGCTTTGGAAACAAAGCAGACTAGCCTCAACTCCTTGGCCCATGTAGTGTTAGCTAACCATAAAGCCCTTAACTGCCTGCTGGCCAATTTTGAGGGGTCTCTGTGATTGCCAGCACCTCATATTGTACCTAGATCCATGAAAACTGGCAAAGTAGAACAGTCCATCATAAGACTTAAGAAAAAAACCTCCTGGCTCTCTAACATAGATCAAGTGGGCTATGGGACATCTATTATTGGTTTGGCAATAGCTGGGGCTCATGCTTACATGCAGTTCTCCAAGCAGGCCTGATCATCCTGCTTAGAATATCATGACCATAATCTACTGTGGCCTCAGACATTATCCTGTTTTTGACAGAGTCCTTTAAAGCCCAACCCATTCAGGTCCATGGTGGGGCAGCTTATGTTTCTCACTCAGGTCCTGAAAAATCAAGGTATGGAATTGGGAATATGGCTCTTGTCTAAACACCTATGACTGTTTGGGTCCAACCAAAGTCCTCTTGGTAAGCCTCATAAGGGACAGCTACTCTCCACATAGCAGACTTGGTGCACAGCTAATGCACTGCAATCTCTGAAGTGAGTATCAGTTAAAGATTCAGGCTCCCATGGCTGGCTGTGCTCAACCGCATTTCTGCATTTAAAGGCCTCTTTTGGTGGAGACCTTCTTATGGGAGGAGAAAGAAACCATAAAAATACTTTTTCTGCACTCTGACTCAGTACTTTTCCACTCCTAGCTCTTCTCCTTCTCCCACCCTGCCCCTGGGTCCATACAACTGCAGGAGCTTTTCGTTCTGAGCTCCCTCAGCAGTCAAATGATTTCCAACATCTGTGCTGATCCATCTGACCTTTGCTGTTGATGCACCATGGGGACAAATAGAACAGTGGGGGAGTCAGCACTTTCTCCAGTTTAACTTTCCGCTTATAATATTGCAGTAAGTGAGTAAAGGTTTGACTGTTACTTTCATTTTGGCTTCTTGTCTTAATCAGCTACTCTAACAACTGGCAGTTCAGCTCTCTCCAGCTCAGTTAAGCTCTTGACAGAACTTAATTTTGGTGAAGGCAGTCAATAACTACATAAAATCAACAGCATCTTCCAAAAGCATCTGAACATGGCAGTAATATTTAGTTTTTTAACAAAATACAATAAAGTACAGACTGCCTGTCATTCCATTGTTTCATTTACGTATTAGTTTCTGGCTATAATTCAGTAACTTTTTAGTTGATGTGACACCTAGTCCCACATTTAAGATGACTTAATTCATCTGGCATTACTGGGTGGCAACATGATACATACCTTTTGTCCCCGAGGCCCTGGAGGCCCTTCTGGACCTGGAAATCCAGGTAATCCTGGGTGTCCTTCCAAACCTGGAAACCCTCTCTCTCCCTGAAATTAAATGAGAATGAAAGGTAAGGTCATTTGTGAATTTTCAAGCACAGGCATAGTTGAGATTCAAAAAGATCACATGACTATCTAGACAAAACTAACTTAATTTAATTATGTAAATTCACAGTATCTACTAACATGAGAAAACCTCTTAAGATGTGAGAGGGGAAAACATAAACCGTCTGGAAATTATATCATATATGGTAATCTTTCTTTCTTGTAAAAAGCATATCAGAAATGAAATGAGATTTAAACATACTGACATCAAGAGTTTAACAGGGAAGATAGCAATAAATCCAGGAAACTAGATCTGTAAGGGTTACATTAAATAAGTATGGAGCAGGGAAGGGTAAAAGGAAACCATCAGACAAGTTCCCAGGCTTGAAATTAACCAGAAAAAAACCTTCAGAACATCAAAACTTTCATTACTTTTTCTAATTGTAAAATTAATACTAAAAAGGAATACACATTCACTGTAGAAAACAAAAGTATATAGAAAACACCACCATTAATTCCTTTACTCAGAATAATTACCTGAATTATGACTCACGTCTGAGTTCCAACTGCAGCCTTTATCATCACCAGGACAGGAGGACTGCCTGTCTACCAGTGAGGACCCACCATATCTTATCAGCACCTTTACAGTAGGGTTGCCTGATGTGAATATCTGTACAGCCAGAAAGGTGGGGTAGCAGAGCCAGCATGTGTACTAATGGTATTTAGATTAACATATTAGGGTTAGGTAATCTGCATACAGCCAATCCTAGTAAGGGTATAAACTCCAACACTAGGGGATCCAGTTACACAAAAATAATTCATCACTATGAAGTTTAAGAACGTCGAAGGCTCACAGCTTCATGGCACATGCTCCCAACTACGGGGCTACAAGTAGTTTCTCTACTTTCCTAAGGCTTGAAGGCTGTCTCTGGTCAGACCTCATTCTGGGAACCCTCTTAACAGATCCTACCCACAGTGACAGCCTGGACAGCACCTGAGAAAGAGAAAGCATCCATATCTACTAGGTGACTGACTAATGGGCCATTGAAGACACATATCTCTAGAGGTTAAGGTACAGCAGACTTTTATTTCTACTCTGAAAGTGTGTGTGTGTGTGTGTTTTGTAAGTACTAAGTTTAGTCTAAAAACCTTAGATGATTTTGTGCTGAATAATTCAATAATCATCCTATAATAAATACAAGTACTTTGAAAAGACTACTTCTGGTCAGTTTCCACTAGACGGAAATATTCCTGTATTTTTGACAATAATTATTGCTGACATATTACTACATTTCTTATTTTCCAGACATATATTCCTTTGCTGTTTTAATTAGTGATTAAATTATGATAATTTAGTATTCATTAACCTCAACACAACTGTTTTTAAGGAAATAAAACAAAGTGAAGAAATTAAGTTTTAAAATTTTTAGAGCTAGATTCCCTCAAATTATTACTGGCAGAGCTAGTAGTAGAAATCTGATCACAAATTACAGTCAGAAAGAAAGTACAAAGGAAAAAAAATCTAGTTACAGTAGATTTTCATGAAAGGAAAACAGGTACATTTTGGGATCCCAGTTGGTATTTAGAGCATATCTCTGCCAAAACTGGAGGATAATACTTGAAGAAAGTCATGTTTTCTCAGAAGCAAAACTGCTATCTCGCCTACAGATAAGAGAGGAATAAGCTAAAAATTTTAAGTGGAGGTGCTAAAAAGCTTAATTTTGTTGATATTAATAAAACCATATACCTATAAATGATATATCCTGAAATCTCCTTGCACTACAGTCAAATAATATCATGGTCTATCTAGCAGAGTGAGCAATATTATAGTAAAGAAAAGAGAAGGGCGACCACCAGACAGTAGCAAAAGGAATTCAAAAATCAATACCAGAGCCTTTGAAAGGTACTAAGGTTACTAAGTAGAAACTATAGAAGCCTTGAGCAAGGATGTGGTGGGGGTGGGATCCTCCATCTAATTCCTAATACATATGGTAGGGAAGGTTGACATTTGTTGTTGCCTACTCTAACTACTGTAGATTTTACTGTAATTTGCTAACACAAAAAGAAAATGGCTATTTCTAAAGGTCAAACTTAAGAAAAAAAAACTGGTTTATGCTGCCTGCCCATATTTGCATAAAAATATCATTCTTATTTTCCTTTGTGGAATAATATTTCTCTCCCTCTGCCTATCCTTTAAATACTGATATTATACTGGATTCCTTTTTTGACCTTCTCTCTCTTTACCGGGGAATCTAAAATACCAACTCTTTTTCCTAAAAAACTAGGCTCTCATAGGCAACTGTCTCAAACATCTCCACTTGAATGCATACAGGCACCTAAAACTCAATGACAATAATAATAGCTAACATGTATTTAGTGTTTTCTATATGCCAAATAATTACTCTAAACTCTTTCCGTGTTTTATCTTATTTAATACTCTCAATGTTAATATGAGGTAGACACTATATTTCCATTTTATATATTAAGAATCAGGACAACGAAAAATTTTGTAATTTTCCTAAGAACAAACTTGATATAAACAACATTGAATTCATATTCTACTGTCTTCTCCATTCCAGGAAATAGCACAACCCAACTACCTCAGCCAGAAATTTGTAATAACTTTGACTCCCCTCACATCACTACTTCATCTAATGAATTATGTCTTCTTCAACTTTGTATTCTAAGTGCCCAACAGAACAAATACTCAGTAAATTCTCATTCAATGAATAAACTTCCTTAATGGATTAAATAAAATATATGGCATATGCTTTTGTCAAAAATTAAAAACATACAAGATTTAGGGCTAGGGGAAATTATACAAAGGACAACTTTTAGTGATCCTTTGGCTGGTTTATATATCATAAGCTAGTATTAAGAAGGATAAAAATCTGATGTACTGAGAAGTAGACTAGTTTGTGAGTTAAAGGCTTCCATAAAAGTGTTACCATTTTCAGGAAGCGCACTTTATAATGACAATAAGAAGTTGTATAATCATGCAACTTTAAAATAAAAAAGTATTTTAAGAATAGTTTCTCAAGGAAGAAAAAATTAACCAGGAAGATATTAGAATTCTGAGGATAGGAAAAATACAAAATAGGACAAACTGCTATAATAATAATTGAGATTAAAATTATTTCAGATTATAATGTAAAAATGCAGAAATTATATGAATATATTTATAGGAACATATGGACAAGGCAAGACCTTTAATGAACAAATGAGATGATAATTTAATAAAGTAATGCAATTATAGGCAATTTGGTTCTCTTTTTTGCATAATGTCTATTTTGTTTTTGTAGTTATGTAGCACTAGAAATATCTGATGTATTACAATTGGTAGAGCAAGAAAATAGACCTTTGGGAACTGCCAAAATTGAGATACTCTAAGTCAGCTATAAAACTTTAAGTTGCATTAGAACCACTTGGAGAACTTATTAAAACACACATTACCTGGCCCCGACACCAGAGTTAGATTGAGTAGGTCAGCTGCAGAGCTTGAGATTTTGCATTCCTTACCAGCTTCCGGTAAATGCTGATGCCACTGACAGAGGCACACTTGGTTTAGTTAATGTTTGATTGTGACACAGATTTTATATTTTCAACTGGTTAACTTGATCTCATCAGGGGTCTAGCAAGTTTTCTTTGTTTAGCAATGTGCACTTGGAGACATTCCTTTCAGGGAAATCTAGATGTTTTATTTCTATGTTAAAAACATTTTAAAAGCAGTTTTCCTGAAGTATAATTAACATACAATAAATTATACATATGTAGAGTACACTATTTTAAAAGTTTGGGGGTTTTTTGTTTGTTTTGGGGGGTGGTTATTTGAGACAGGATCTCACCTTGTTACACAGGCTGGAGTGCTGTGGCACAAACACAGCTCACTGCAGCCTAGACCTCCTGGGCTCAGGTGATCCTCCCAGCTCAGCCTCCCTGAGTAGCTGGAACTACAAGTGTGTGCCACTATGCCCAGCCAATTTTTATATCTTTTGTAGAGACAGGGTTTCACCATGTTACCCAGGTTGGTATCAAACTCCTGGGCTCAAGCGATCCACCTGCCTCAGCCTCTCAAAGTGCTGGGATTACAGGTGTCAGCCACCATGCCTGGCCAAAAGTTTTGACACATATATACACCAGTGAAACTGATTTGGCTCTGGATTCTCACCCAAATCTCATCTCGAGTTGTATACCACATAATCCCCAAGTGTTGAGGGAGGAACCTGGTGGGAGATGACTGGATCATGGAGCCAGTTTCCCCGACACTGTTCTCCTGATAGTGAGTGGGTTCTCACAAGATCTGATGGTTTTGTAATGGGCTCTTCCCTCTCTGCTCCTCACTCTTCTCTCTCCTGCTGCCTAGTGAAGAAGGTGCCCACTTCCCCTAAGCCTTCTGCCATGACTGTGAGTTTCCTGAGGTCACCCAGCCATGCGGAACTGTGAGTCAATTAAACTTCCTTTGTTTATAAATTACCCAGTCTTGAGTATTTCTTTATAGCAGCGCAAAGATGGACTAATACAGAAACCATTACCACAATCAAAATAATGAGCATAGTCAATCCATTACAGAAGCTTCTTTGTGCCCATATCTTCCTTATTCCTATATCCATCTCCCTACTCCTACCCACCCCAGGCCATGAGAGATCTGCTTTCTGTCACTGTAGATTAATTTGCATTTTCTAGAATTTTATATAAATAGAATTATAAAGAATGTACTCTTTTTGTCTAACTTTTCACTCAGCATAATTACTTGGAGATTCAAACTTGTTGTGGTGAATATCAGTAATTCATTACTGTTTATTATTGAGTAGTATTCCATTGTAGAGATATACTGCAATGTGTTGATTCATTTACCTGTTGATGGGAAGTTGAGTTGTTTCCCGTTTCTGGCTATTACAAATAAAGCTACTATGAATATCCATGTACAAGATTTATATAGGCATATGCTTTGATGTCTCATGGGTAAATGTTTAGGAATCAACAGGGTCATATAATAGGTGTTT